CATCTATTAGACCATAACATGAGATCGTCCGCACAGGCGCGGAGCAGCTTGTACGCATCCTGTATTTCAGCTCTGAACACTTTAGCATTTCTTCGCTTCCAGATATTCCACAGGATGGCGATGATCACCGTAGATCGGATTTTGTCATTCATCAGTGAGCCCCAGCAGGTTGTGATGGAGTCAGGCATAGTATGGCAGAGAGAGTTGAGTTCAGCCCAAATCAGATGAGTTTGAGCACATGAGAAAAGCAGGTGGTTGATAGTCTCGGAGTCGTTGCAGAAGGGACAAGTTGCAGTAGTCGCAATGCCCCTCCTGAATCTTCGATCGTTGGTGTAGAGCCTGTCTTTGTGCGCTAGCCATAGGAACAGCCGGCACTTGTTTGGGGCATAGTTCTTCCAGATTGCAGGCGCCATCGGGTCCATCGGCCTGTCTATCCATAGTGCCCCGTATGGGAAGGCCGTGGTCAGCGGTTTACCTTCGAGTCTACTGATTCTCCGGTCAGGTACCTGTTCATTCAAGGAAAACGTGGCAAGGATATAGCGGATAGATTCGAGATCGCTTTCTGCAGCATGTGAGAGTCGTGGGGCGAGGTAGGTGTTTAGTTGTGGGTGGACTAGAACAGCTGCAATGGAAGCGTTAGGTCTAAGTGTGTGGGAAAAAATGGCCGGGAACTGAACTGCTAGAGTGGTGGTGTGGTTAGGGATCCATAAATCTAGCCAGAAAGCCGTGGACCGACCATCGCCAGGGATGACCCTGGTGATAGCACGAAGCAGAGGAAGACCCTTCGCCATGTCGCGCCAGATGACAGTGTCAAGACGCGCTGGGTCGCCAAGGTCACGGTGGTGGCTCCATCCGTAGGTGGAGGCCAGGTGGTTTGGCTCGGAGGTTATGCAGTGGGAGTGGATTTTGAGCAATTGTTTGAGGAGAAGACACTGGTTGAACTGGTGCAACGATAGAAACCCAAGGCCCCCACGAGAGAAGGGAGCACAAACCGCATCCCACGCAACTTTACACTGACCCCCAGAAATCGTATCCTGACCTGCCCAGAAGAAAGCTCGACAGCGACTATCGATGGCCTGGATTGTACCTAAAGGAAGCAGAAGAGCAGACATCGCATAGAGTGGGAGGGCACGAAGGACCGCCCGCACTAGGATGGCCCTGCCGGCTAAGGAAAGCAGCAGGCCCCTCCAACCAGCGAGTCTCTGATCCACTTTGTCTATGATGAAGAAAAAAGCCGATAGGTTGAGCTTGTGAGTGGATAGAGGGAGACCCAGGTAGCTTTGAGGGAAGGATGCCACAGGGCATCCCAGCACCGCAGCCATAGAGGAGGCGAGAGCATCATCAACATGAATAGGGGCAAAGGTGCTCTTGTGAAAATTTATCTGTAGCTCGGTGGCTGCCGAGAATTCTAGTAAAATTGATTTGAGATGAGTTAATTGCTCCAAGCTAGCCTGAAGGATAATTAGCGTATCGTCGGCGTACTGAAGGACTGGGCACGGGAGAGAGCTATCCAGAGGGTGGTGAAGGAGCCCCGAAGCCGAAGCGTGCAAAATAAGACGCTGAAGAATGTCGGCGATGAGGATAAACAGGTACGGTGACATGGAGTCACCCTAGCGCAGTCCTTTTTTGCAGTGAAACCAGGGCCCAGGGGTCCCATTTAGGAGCACAGAGGATTGGCTCGATCTATTTAGTTGGTCTATCCAGGAGCACCAAAGTGGGGGGAAACCTTTCGCCTGCAAGACGGCCGCAATGGCGTCCCAAGATATTGAGTCAAAGGCTTTTTGGAAATCAAGCTTAAGAACAATAGCAGCCTTTTTGCGTTTGAAGCAAGACTGGACAATATCCGCAGCATACGTGAAATTGTCTGCGATCCCTCTACCCCGGACAAACCCAGATTGGTCATGGTGGATCATATGGTTGATGAAGGGTTGAGTCCGGTTAGAGAGGCATTTGGAGGTGATTTTTATAGCGCAATTTTGCAGGGACACAGGGCGGTAGCTCCCTGGTTCATTGGCGCCAATTTTCTTGGGGATGAGAACTATGAATGCTTTGTTGATCCGTTTAAGATCAGCGGAGCAGCTGTGGAACCCGTGGAGCAGGCTGAGAAGGTCATTTTTAACCAAATCCCAGTTGGCTTTAAAGAAAGCAGGGCCTAGGCCATCCGGACCCGGGCTGGCGTTGTCATTCATGCCCCATAGAGCGGTTTTAATTTCGCATAGAGAGAAAGGCCGGATGAGACTGGCTGCATCAATGGTGGAGAGGGCAGACGAGGCGACGAGACCAGGTAGATCAAAGTTGATAGAGGAGGCGGCAGGGGTGCCAACAAGATTTTTGAAGAAGTGAAGTAGAATTTTTTCTTTCTGATTGTGGGTAGTGAATCTCGATCCCTCAACCATCAGGGACTTAATCTGATTCTTGCGGAATCTGACTGAGGCGCAGGTGTGGAGGTAAGCGGAGTTTTCATCTCCAAGATTGCACTCTTTAATTTTTGCACGCTGACTCCAATAGATGGCCAAAATTTTGTTGTGGCGGTGAAGGGAGAGCTTGACCGCTACGCGAAGTTGAAGCTCTAACGGCGATAAACATCTAGACTCCTCCAATTTGTCCAGAAAATTGATGGTGGTTGAGCAGTTCTAGCAATGGTTTTGGGAGATTTTGCGTTGAAAGCCCATTGCTTGGCCATGCATCGAGTCCTCTTTATTTTAAGACAAATCTTGCCCGCAGGGTCCAGGTGGCTATGGGTGACGCTGGACCAGTTCTTCTTCACAAGTCTTGGAAACGTGGGAGGTGTAGTAAGTTGTTGTTCAAGTGGAACACCTTAGACTTAGGAATCAAAGTGGACGCCGACAGGCAGATAGGCACATGGTCGGAAGTAGTCCGAGAGCAAGATATAATCGAAGAGTCCGGAAAGGACTGGGACCAATCTACGTTGATTAAGGCTCGGTCTAGCTTAACCAAGATTGGATTGTCTTGTTGATTGGACCAAGTGTAGAGGCGATCGAGGAGAGGGAGATCTTGCAACTGCAGCAAATGAATCGTGGATGAAAACAGCGTTGCCTCGGCGCGATTAAAATTATCGTTTGATCTCTGGGATGGGCGGAGAGTCAAGTTAAAGTCGCCGATGATAGTCCAGGGGCCGGAGATCATCGTCTTGAGAGTAGATAGGGAGTTGAGAAACACAGGTTTTAGCGAGTGGTCACAAGGGCCGTAAACATTAGTGACCAGAAAGGATAGGTCAGTCGCCCTGAACTCGAACCAGCATGTTAGTGAGTAGATGTCAGAATGAGTTTTAGTGCAAATGACGGTGTTATCGTCCCAAGAAGTGAGCAGCCCACCTGAGGCTCCATGAGATGGAGAGAAGTGAAAATTTCTAGACATAGGCGGAAGAAAGGTGGAGGCTTTAAAAGAATCTACGTCCTGGAGCTTGGTCTCTTGCAAACAAATAACCGCAGAATGGTTGCTTAACAGAGCCGATCTCACATCATTACATTTGTCCGGGCGACCCAGTCCACGGACGTTCCAGGATAGAATACGAAGGTGTCTATTCATTGGGGCCATCTGGATACAACAGAGCAAAGATCGAGAACCCGAAGCAAAAAGTAGAGGTAGACACCGAATAGAGGCTGGCCCGAGAGGCCAGCGAGCCTCGCGCAGGCAGATAGCAGAGACCTAAAAAAGAGAAGAGGAAATACATAACTAGGGGGAGCAGGTAGGCCGCTAGATGCCCTCCAAAGAAACTAAGGCTAAAACTAAGAGGGGACCCTAGTTCATGATTAGCGAGGGGCCGAGAGCATCCAGGAGAGGAAACGCC